TCCGCTTTACCTTCCTTTCCAGCGAGACTTCCCACAGGGCTGCGCCGGGAAATGCGGCTGCCCAGGTGAATGCCTCCCGGCTTGACGCTCAGAGTCGGGGTCCCAATCCCTCCGCGAATCTTGGTGAGCGATCAACCGGGTACATCCTTCGGTCTGGCTGGGGAGGGTACAATACGCTCCTGACGACGACCGTTTTCTTTTGTTGGAAACCACTGGTGCATTGCACGCCATGTTGTTTGCAGCTGTATTGAGCTTTGGCCCAGGAAGCCGTACCCACACAGTGACGTCACTGGGAAAGTCCCGGATCGATGGAAGCGCCCAAGGTTATTAGGCGCGTATTTCAAAAAAATAAATTCGTATCTCGATCGTTTACATTGGAAATAGACTAGATAAATACATTTCCTAATGGGAATATTGTCGCATGGAAAGCAGTTTGAAAAGTGTTTCCATTTCCCTTTAATCAGTTAACAGTGATGGCGGCGGCGCCGTCTCACTTCTGGAGATGAGTTTCGTCTTTATGTCATGATAGAGAGATACAAATACTGAATAGTTTAGATGAGAAAAGGCATCGAAATGCCAGGTTACTAGTATTTATCATGTAAACAGGGAACATGAATAACCCGATCTCTCTGTGCTCATGTGAACACCATGATGTCCATAGAGACGCAGTCAGTGTGTTTTACTGGAGCCTCAGTTCGATAAGAGATTATTTTCTGAGTTCTTTAACTTACTCTCTCTCAAAATGGTAATGTGCATTATGTTTTAATTATACTTCCTATCATTCAGAAGCTTTTGGTGTGTGTTTATGTTTTACTGAGTGCTTATAGGCAATTTCCATCCCAGTAGGCTATTCAGTTAACTATTTATTTTCTGTCCACATTACATAGACTAGCTAATATTCTACCTTCTGCTTGGGACATTGAGTCTTCAAAATGTCCAATGTCACAGGCTGGGACTTACTTTAGAGTCAGTTGTATCTACATTCAGTATGACTTGTTATGATTCAATGTGAAAGAGTATACTGCTCAATAAATAATTATCACTCCACCACCTCTCTTGACATCTAGGCGCTTGAGAGTGAGTCAGAGGCAGAACACAGGGACAGTGGAGAGAGGTTCATTGCTGAGGTGAGTGATGAAAGGGAAATGACAGTTTAGAGTAAATTGTGATGTGGACTCTCATCCCAGAATCTTTAGGAAATCAGTGGGGATATTGAACAGGAAACATTTCAGTCAAAGGGCATCATATGACCAATATAGACAGAAGAGCAGGGCCGCCCCTCCCTACAGGCCAATCACGCAGGCTGCATGGGGCCCCGCCCAGAGGGCCTCAGCTGCTGTGCGCAGTTCTCCGCTCAGTTCTCCGCGCACCCCATGCGAGAGTGAGAGTGATGACAAGGGGAGCATGTCTGTAACCCGACACCGTTGCAATGAATCGGCATCTGACCAATCACGGCTTTGATACGGCCACTAGTGCAGGTGAAGAGATGTTGGTGAAAAGACAGTTTCAGTCCGGCGTAAAAAACAAAACATGAAGAAACTAGAGCATCACTCGAAGGTGGGTTATTGTATGAGTCAAATGTACAACTTGCAAATGTTGTATAAGTCAAATTGCCAATTGCCATATTAAAACATCAGCTGCAATTCACGACATGAAGAAGGCAGTCTCTGCATAGCATATAGGCTAATGGAGATGCAGTTATTTCCAGCATTCTTTATTTAACATTCATTCAAGTATGTTATGCCTTTCATCTGCTAATGTAATGAAATGTAATGGAATGCTAAGGAAGAGTGATAAACTGTCTGTCTAGTTGGCGTACATAACAGTTAAAGTTTACAGCCTAAAAAACATGGAGCATTTTTTCCCCTTTTATTCATTTTTATGTCAATTTGCACATTTCATGGTGATGCTCAGCCTCTCCCCTTAACTCCTAACAGTCATCATCATGTCAACCACAACACAGAGAAATACTGATAGAAATGTGTGTGTAGTTGTTGATACATTGCTGACAGAGGGAACTAGAATACAGATTTAAAAAATATCAGTTTTTGAGCATGTAATAAGCATGTTTTGTCTTGACTATATTACAACTATATTATAATAAAATAATATAGTATTTATATTATTGAAATGATTATTTGTAGAAGTAGTTTATTTGCATTAATTATATTTTAATCTTTTTGAGGCTAGTATTTGGCAGTAAATGCAGACGTATCCACCTGTAAACGCATACTGAACAACATACATGCACATTTACCATTTACCTCACTGTATAAAAAAGTAACTGTTGATAATAATAATAATAAACAGGAATTATATTTGCAAACATTTTTTCACTCCTGTCGGTTGGGGGGGGGGGGGGGGCTCATCTCACAATGTCGCTTGGGGCCCCAAGTTGGCAAGGGGCGGCCCTGCAGAAGAGCAACATTTATTTGAACATTTAAGTCAATGATACTAGGTGAACTTAACATCGGTATGGAGTCAGATCAGTCTCAATATTAATAAATGCTCACAGAAGGATTCACAAATGTATTTTGCGATTTATATGTAAATGACTCTCCACACCAATATCTCTCAATGCACTCACAAATATTTATTGTTGTATATAAATGTACAACAAATGGGCATTTAAACTGCTTTTTATTAATTCAAAGACAGCTCTCAATTAATAATCAAATATGTTTCCTTTCTTTACTACTGGATGAAATTACAAAATGTACCCATCATTTTCCTCATGCTAGTATAGCCACATAAAAGTATCAAACCACCATCTACTATTTTTTTTTTCGTTAGGGGGGGACCCCCATACCCCCCCTTAAAAATGTCCCCCTCACATTCAGGATGCTTCCTACGCCCATGCTAATGCCGCACCAACTGGTTCTCTGAGGTCCACCAGACGTTGCAGCATGTGATATGTGCTGTTCCAGCGGGTCTCCACCTCTTGCAGGAGCTTCAGTGTGGGCCTTCCCAATTGTTTTTGCACCGATACAAGCTTCTCCTTTAAAAAAAAATTAAAGATGTATTTAATTGTCAAAGTAGCAGTAACATAGCATTATTATTATTCATTACTAACCAATGTAAGAAAGGTCAAATCACATACCTCCAGTTTTCTTGCCTTGGCTCGAATATCACACAGCACAGGGGTCACGTCACGGGGGGGGGAGCTGTGTTAAGAATGAGTATCTTGTAACTTTCTTTTATTTGCATGATAAAGTGAAGTTAACATGGTTAAATTATAAAGTATATTATTCCAAAATATTAAATGACAAACCTTGAGCAGGTCCAACTCCATGTCCCTCCTTGATCTCATGTATGGCACGATAATGCCTTAGCATGGATGAAGTATTGTTATTGTAACCCAGTTCCCTGGAGCACAATAAACACTTCACCTTTGAATAAAATAGAAAAAGTAAAAAAATGAACCATACAAAATCTAACATAATACATCTGTTGTAATAGACTATGTATGCAACCTACCTTATTGGGAGAAATCAGATCAAAGTGTTCCCACTTCTTTGCTGGCTCCATTCTAACGAGTACAAAAATATCATACAACCAAAACTGGCAAACGACAAGCGTTCTCCTCTCACAAGGTTCACACATCTTGAATCGAATCCCATGGGGTTTTATCTGTCAGAAGCTCACGCCAAGATCTGAAGCGCTTCCTGAAGCAGTCACGTGGTATCGACAGGCAGCGAGGCTTCGTTTGTCATCGATGACATCACTGGCCCAAAACGATACAAGCCTCGATACAAGCTTCACAAAAAGCTTCGGGGATTACTCAACACGCGCTCCGAAGCCTCTGCGCAATACGTAACATCACTAGAGGAAACTGCAGCCTTCTTCAGGCCTTTATGGAGGCCCTGATTGGGGATTGGGAGCACCTGAGTGAGTGGCTGCACCTGGAGGAGGACAATCAGGGGGGGGAGAGACACAAACACACATGAGGCTAGGGGGCCTGAAGTGGAATCTTCATGAGTGGACATATTTGCGGAAAGTGTTTAAAATAGTGTGTGGGGCTCTGACTAATGACTTGAGAGTCTCTGAGGAGCTTCTCTGTGAGGCAGAGGGATGAAACACATTTATACACAGTTAGCAAAGCTGTAATCACCAGCACAGAAACATGAGTCATCATCGCCACTTCACTCAGGCTCATCCACTCTTACAAGTCCTTACATTAGGTATTTTAGTCACCGAATCATAAAGATAATCGTTTGTACTGTTCAGAGTCATGTTGTGTTGATGTGGTTTGGTCATCTACTCTGAGTAATATTTTATTTAGCAGTTACTACTGGTGCAGTGTTGTGAAGAGGTTGGATGATCTAAATGGCCAACATGTGTTGTGGGTGAGCAGGAAAGGAGACAAAAACCTTTTTTATTGGCTGTTACTGCTATTAGCATTATCTGTTCTTACTGTTAGCTAACATATACACTACTGTATGTGTGTACTGTTTATGGAGGTTACTGTTCTATTGGGACTATGAGGAGATGTTTTTCCTGTTAGAGCAAACGTGGATTAGGAAATAGGAGTGGCCTTTATCGTGACATAGCCAAGAGAAATTAATTTTGTTTCTTATTCTGATAAGAAAATGCTATTTCACAAGGGAACTGGATATGTAGGGGAGCCTTTTTAGGTGTTTCAGTTCTGGGGCATATTGTTTACAATGTATTAATAATAATAATAATTTCAATGTATTTAGCGCCTTTCATAAACCCAATGACGCATATACTCATGGAAAACCACAATTGTGCCTGCAGATCAGTTACCACCATATACAAAGTCAACCTTTTTTTGTATGGTTAGCATGAGAATGAAAAAGTACACCATGTACTTCATCCATTAATGAAACATTGAGACCTTTGATAATGAAAAGTTACCTTTCTCCTATATGTGTTGTTTGACTGACAAAAACATTTCGTTGTTCATCTTGACTCCTAACCCTAACCCTTTCCCAAAAGAGCATAGTTTGAAAACTAATGTTCTTTCTTTTTGTCTCCAGGTTCATCGGTCATCCCATCCTCTGACCTGTTCTCCAACACCTCCTGCAACACCTCCTCCAATGATTCCACCTTCTGCTCTCCTGTGGATGAAGGACAGGGGGCAGGAAGTCCATATAAGGCTCTGGAGATGTTCTTCATCGCCTTAGTTACAGGATCTCTGAGCTTTGTGACTGTAACAGGAAATATATTAGTCATGCTTTCCATCAAAGTAAACCGCCACCTACAAACTGTCAACAACTATTTCCTATTCTCATTAGCATGCGCTGACCTGATCATAGGGGCTTTCAGCATGAATCTGTACACAGTCTACATCATCGTGGGCTACTGGCCGCTGGGCCCGGTGGTCTGTGACTTATGGCTAGCTTTAGATTATGTTGTCTCCAACGCCTCCGTGATGAATTTATTGATCATCAGCTTCGATCGCTATTTTTGCGTGACCAAACCCCTCAGTTACCCATCAAGAAGGACGACCAAGATGGCGGGGCTGATGATCGCAGCGGCGTGGATCCTGTCCTTCATCCTGTGGGCACCTGCCATCTTGTTCTGGCAGTTCATCGTTGGACAGCGAACAGTGCCCCCTGGAGAGTGTTACATTCAGGTACAGTGCAGCAAACTCAACAGATCCTTCAGGAGAGGTGGGAAGTAGTGGAGTACACATACTTCGTTACTGTACTTAAGTACATTTTTCTGGTATCAGTACTTTACCCCACTACTTATTTTTCTGATGACTTTTTACTTTTACTTCTTACATGTTGAACACAAATACCTGTACTTTCTACTTCTTACATGTTGAACACAAATACCTGTACTTTCTACTTCTCTCATTTTCCAAACAGCTGGTTCCTTTAGTCTGAATGTGTGTTTGATGCGTGATCATTATTCTTTAGAGTCATTGCGTGCCTTTTGATTTGAACACGATCCGTGTATCCATAATTTCCTGGTCTTCTCTAAAGAAGAGGGACCAATGGAAACGTTGTCATGTTGCCGTTGTTCAGCATGGAAACATTAATTAGCTAACAATGGCCTTATTGTTCTATTAATATAAAGGGAGGTCAGGTACTCTTTAAAACAGCTGCTAGTTATGGGTACTTTTTACTGAAGTATATTTCAAAGCCCATACTTCTTTACTTTTACTTGAATAAAAAAGTTTAGTCAGTACTTCTACTTTTACCAGAGTATTTTTTAAACACGAGTATCTGTACTTCTACTTGAGTAAAGGATGTGTGTACTTTTGCCATCTCTGTCCTTCAGGAATAAGGCTCACATCTAAAACAACCTGTTCATGTGTGATTAAAGTACTCCTAACTCCTATCCTTATTATCTTTAGCTATCGATGTCTTCATACAGTGAATAAATCCGGCTCAGATGGAATATCATGTGACATATATAGTGTAAAATATAGTGTATAATACATGTATATAGAGAGGCAAAGTCCCTCCCCTTCCGGGGGACCTCCGTGGGACCTTATTTTGGAAAAATTATGTATTGAAGTCAATGGAGAGAGAAAGATTTTCTTTCGATCCCGTTTGAATTGTGCCACAAATTACACATATGATGTTTGTCAATTTAAAAGATAATTTTGCAAGTAAAAAAAATAAAAATGTGTCGTAAAACTGTGAAGAAACCATTTTCTTGTGTGAACCGCTCAATGAACTACAACTCTGGTCACGTCACCAACACCAAGATGGCCGTCACGTTAGCACATTTCACCTCTTTCTTTCAGAATGAGGCGAAAAGTATTAATAGAGGTGAAAATCACTACAAGTCTGGGCATGTTGAGAGCTGTACATACACAAAAGGGGAGTTAGTCGGTTCCGTAAGAGCCAGCATGTGGGACCGGCTTTACAAGGTTTCGGTAAGTAACACAAGTGTAATTTGTAATGTTAATGACATCACTTACTTGCTGGGATTTGTAGTCTTTCTAGTTGTGTATTTTTCATAGTCTTATATTTCAACAGTTTTACGACAAACTGTGACTTTTTTGACATGGAAATGATTTTTTAAGATTGACAAACATCATATGTGTAATTCGTGGCACAATTCAAACGGGTTCGAAAGATAATCTTTCTCTCTCCATTGACTTCAATACATACTTTTTCCGAAATAAGGTCCCATGGGGTGGAAGTAGAAGGGCGGGACTTCGCCTCTCTATTGAGCGATGTTAACCTCAGTCTCTGGTGTCAGGTTTACATTGCTATATTGATCTTTCTCTGGTAATCAGCTGGCTCCTACTCCATGACCTTTGACCTCTTCGCAGTGGATGCCGTGGAAAAACTCTTGTATCACTACAACCTGCAAGGGGAGTGTCATGAGCCTGATGGAGAAGCCAAAGACCTCATCACCTCTGTTTACCATTTGTACAGAAATAGGGCCAAAGGTTACTGAGATGTCTCAAAACACATTTGCGGTCATATCTCAATATGTCATAGGCTAATTATAATATTCATGGGTGCACACATGTTCAAATAATAATAAGTGATGATATTCAACCCAGTCTCACGGCATTTCGTGTTATAGTCACGACATTTAATCTATTGATTCGTGTCACACAGAACGATTCCAGTTTTCGATAGTCTGGCGGGATTTCGTTCCATTTCAAAATATTTAAAATAGCTGTTCTCGGTGCAACCTTGGCGCAATGCCACTCCAACATCCAATCCCAGAGCTTGAAGATTAATCACGGAGACAGTAGTCCTAAACGATAGCTGGGGATTATGGGTAGTGTAGTGTCTTCGGTCATCCTAAACTCCAAAATATTTTTCGGATTTCATATCGCATTAACACCATATCCCAACCTGCATTGCGGCTAAAACATCCAATCAGCGAGCTTAAACCATAGCTGAGGATCTTGGGTAATCAGCTCAGTGGCTGTGTATCGCAATGATGCTCGAAATGTCCCTTATAGGCCTACGTCTGTTTCCGGTTATTTTTATTTTGAAATTCAGTTCTTGACGGACGCCAAAAAAGCCTGAGATTATGGAATTAAACAAATAAATAAAAACAAGGATAATTGTGTGTTATTGTTGAGTACATTTAGAAAAGAATAACAAATTAGAAGGAAAAAAAGATTTTAAAAAATACAGATTTCAGTATTCTGAGGCTCTGAGCCCCATTTCTTTTCCTCACAGACGACAAAAAAAGTCAGACATTATACGATTTAAAATAAAAACAATAATCGTGGCTTGATATTGAGTAAGGAGATGTTTTTATCAAACCCACAGATTCCTGTCTTCCAAGACCCGAACGGACAAAAAGACGTGTTGCAGGCACGAAACATACTATCAATAGAATTACATTGCTTTTAAAATCGTTCTGTGTGACACGAAAAATAACACGAAATGCCGTGAGACTGGGTTGTGATATTTGTGGACAGACATGGACTGGTTGGAGGAGTAATTCAACTGCTAGCTACCCATTAGCGTCGTGGCCCTCAACCTGCCTGTTGCAGCGGTCCTCATGGAGCATCCAAGAGACTGTATGGTTCTGGTCCAGTGTTCACAGACAGCTGCTGTTGGGTTCTCACTCAGTCTCCAGGCTCTTTGCTGTTTCACTCGTGTACTGTTCCCCAAAATAGACAGGTGGAGTCACACACACACACACACACACACACACACACACACACACACACACCACACACACACACACACACACACACACACACACACACACACACACACACACACACACACACACACACACACACACACACCCACATACACATACACATACACATACACATACACATACACATACACATACACACACACACACAGCTAGTCACTCATAAACACTGAAGTCTATGAAGACTACTGTGAAAGACTACATTTTAAGGCATTTAGATTAAGTCTTCACACTTTCATTGCTCTATGCTCCCATTTCTAACTATAATACCCCCAATGTGAGTACAAATACTATCATTTTAATATAATACAGTGCAGTAACACAACAGTTTAAGTAACAGTTTTTACAAATATTCAATTTTTAGATATGTTGTATTTGATTGTATTATACTGTACAAGTATACCTAAAAATCTCTCTTTCTTTCTGTCCTTTTTCTTTCTTTTTTTTCTTTCTTTCTTCCTACAGTTCCTTTCAAACCCTGCGGCGACGTTTGGTACGGCCATAGCAGCTTTCTATCTTCCTGTCATCATAATGACGGTCCTGTACATCCACATTTCCCTTGCCTCCAGGAGCAGGGTCTCCAAACACAAGCCAGAGAAAAAAGAGAAGAAGGGAATAAAGTAAGAGCATCTAAGGAATCAAGTGCACTTCATGCGTGACAAATCATTTCCTGAGTGAAAAGGAAAAATGCCAAACTCATCTTTTCTTGATTGACAGTTATGACTTTAACCATGCATCTATGACACTGATTGACAACCACACACTTCACTGTGAACGATGTCATACTTCCTCTTACCCTGGAAACTTTTTATCAATAAAGTCTGACCTTTAAAGGTTGGCTCTCCGTCTTCACAGCATTCTGCCGGTTTGAACATCAAGAGACTCTTGTTATTCACTTTATAGATCCAAAGATAAAATATAAATCTTCTTTAACATCACTCAGATTCATATTTACATATATAGATTTCATATTTGTGTATACTGTGTGTTTATACATTTATATACACATCGTAGTTGAGCACTATATTTGGTGATGTGCAACTAGTTTGTGTAGTGTACTTCTTTTTGTACATTCTTATAATACATAGACTACATGAATATTTCTCTACATATTCTGAATATGTAGCGGTTCCTACTAGCATTATCCAATTATCATATATTCTCATCTTAAATTGAACAACTTCCAGAGAAGGGGAATTGTTTGTTTAACCAAAAGAGTGTTTAACCAAAAGAAATGGGTCAATAAATCACAAATTGGCACTAGATGCCTCTCACCCAGGCTCTTCACATTAATTAATCATACACACAATTTTCTGCAGAATGAATTACCATAATATGTTCACAATTAATCACTCATATCCATTTGTTTATTTAAAAAACGGCAGAGATGTTCTAACGGTGTATGCTTTGTAAAGATAATCATTGTTGTGTTAATCAGAACTCCCAGCCTGCTGAAGAGTCACCTGTTGAAGCAGAACAACAACAACGAGACCAGTCCTCAGGCCAGCCCCCGTTCCACCCCCAAACTCAATCTGGACTCCACCACCACAGCACTGGAGGCGGTGAAGAACGGCAGGACGGAGGAACCCAAACCTGCTCAGCCACTGCCTGAAGCTCAGCCCAGCCCGGGCCTCACCCAGGTATTGACCCAGGTACTCACCCAGTACTGACCCAGGTAATGACCCGGGGACTGACCCAGGCACTGACCCAGTACTGACCCAGGGACTGACCCAGGTAATGACCCGGGGACTGACCCAGGCACTGACCCAGGTACTGACCCAGGTACTCACCCAGTACTGACCCAGGTAATGACCCGGGGACTGACCCAGGCACTGACCCAGGTACTGACCCAGGTACTGACCCGGGTACTGACCCAGGTACCGACCCGGGTACTGACCCAGGGAATGACCCAGGCACTGACCCAGGTACTGACCCAGGTACTGACCCGGGTACTGACCCAGGTACCGACCCGGGTACCAAGCCGGGTACTGACCCAGGGACTGACCTAGGTAATGACTCAGATACCGACCCGGGTACTGACCCAGGCACTGTGGTGCTGACCCAGTACTGACTCAGGTACTGACTCAGGTACCAACCCAGGTACCGACCCAGGGACTGACCCAGGTACCAACTAGAATACCAATTAGAATTCCTTTATTTGTCCCGCAATGGGGACATGTACAGATGTACAGTGTTACAACAGCAGAAGTACAGTGCAGATGAGTACAAATTATATAAATAACAAAAGGTTATTAATACAAAAAACACAATAAGTAAAACAAATAGCACCATGGTAGAGTAGCAGTATATATATTTTTAAAAGGTGACCATATCAAATTATAGAAGTAGCTTGTACTGTTTACAGATTGTAAATAAATTGAAAGCTAAATTGCACTAGGGACAGTGTCTTCCTTAGAGGTTTGTGTTCATTTGGAAACCTAACTCCATAAAAATAATTTTAAATGTTTTTAAATATTGCAAATGAATTACATTACGAAGGCTGACCAAAACTTCCTGCCGTAATTCCATCACATGGCAGTGGAAATGCAAAGAAATTGCTACAAGAGACTTGTATTGCGCTGACTGGAGACCACCCACATCAGTAAGAACCATCAGTATCTTGCTGTAGCAGAACACCTGATCCATGACTAATGCTTTGTACTCAATTCTCTAGATGTGGTGAAAACAGAGGAAAGGCATTTTGCTGAACCATGCTTCAGCTTCCTAAAGTTGTATAGGAGTGGGAGATAGCGGACAGGGTCACAAATGTAGGAACAGAAAGACCACCCAAAATGATAGCGGAAGCAAGTATATGTCCTATGTAGCACACATTATATGGAGGGGGATCACGTGTCCAAGTGTTATTTGGCAAGAAACTGAAACCCAGATGTCTCCCATAGTCTAAGGCTAAGCCATGTCTGCTTAGGATAAAAGGGTCCTTTAAATGAAATGTAACAATGTATCTGTCCAACTGTTCAGGAGGAAAAGGAGAGCTCCAACGACTCTTCCACAGCTTTCATTCCCCCCACAAAGCCAAAGGACAGCACCAAGAACGAGGTCATATCTGAGGTTAGTATTCAATGACTGACAACTTTCTTTTTTTTAGTCCATGCTCTATTTTTAACATTCTGAAAAAAATTACACGGATGAAAGACAGAAGTTGAAAAAGTTGTGAATGAAGTCAAAAGGGTTAGGGTTAGTCAAAATATCTGAAGAAATATTGTGACCTTTCTCAACACAGCCTCTTGGTTTTGTTACAGGATGCAAGCAATCCAGACCCAGTTGCCACGACAACCACCAATGTTGAATTGGCCAAGGCCGGAGCCAGCTCGAGATGGTCCAAGATAAAGATCGTAACGAAGAAGGCGGGGGACGAGTGCATCACAGCTCTGGAGATCTGCCCTCCTGTAGAGGGCACAGAGAGGCGTTCAATCCCCATCAGCCGTCCCAGGACTGTGGCCAGGAAGTTTGCAAGCATTGCCAGAAGCCAAGTGAAGAGGAAACGACAGATGGAAGCCAGGGAAAAGAAGGTATGGAATACTGCGCACACATCAGCCATACATGCATCAACAACAGGTGTGCTGACGTACAGATTTACATTACTATAACACTGCTGTTGGATGGTAGTGAAACAAAGGCATGAGTCAATGTTTACAGTGTGCCAGAGGCGGGAAGTAGTGGAGTACAAATACTTCGTTACTGTACTTAAGTACATTTTGGTATCAGTATTTTACTCCACTTATTTTTCTGACGACTTTTTACTTCTACTTCTTACATGTTGAACACAAATACCTGTACTTTCTACTTCTTACATGTTGAACTCAAATACCTGTACTTTCTACTTCTTACATGTTGAACACAAATACCTGTACGTTCTACTTCTTACATGTTGAACACAAATATCTGCACTTTCTACTTCTTACATGTTGAACACAAATACCTGTACTTTCTACTTCTTACATGTTGAACTCAAATACCTGTACTTTCTACTTCTTACATGTTGAACACAAATACCTGTACTTTCTACTTCTTACATGTTGAACACAAATACCTGTACTTTCTACTTCTTACATGTTGAACACAAATACCTGTACTTTCTACTTCTTACATGTTGAACTCAAATACCTGTACTTTCTACTTCTTACATGTTGAACTCAAATACCTGTACTTTCTACTTCTTACATGTTGAACACAAATACCTGTACTTTCTACTTCTCACATGTTGAACACAAATACCTGTACTTTCTACTTCTCTCATTTTCCAAACAGCTGGTTCCTTTAGTCTGAATGTGTGTTTGATGCGTGATCATTATTCTTTAGAGTCATTGCGTGCCTATTGATTAGAACACGATCCGTGTATCCATCATTTCCTGGTCTTCTCTAAAGAAGAGGGACCAATGGAAACGTTGTCATGTTGCCGTTGTTCAGCATGGAAACATTCATTAGCTAACAATGACGTTAGTGTTCTATTAATATAAAGGGAGGTCAGGTACTCTTTAAAACAGCTGCTAGTTATGGGTACTTTTTACTGAATTACATTTCGAAGCCCATACTTTTACTTGAGTAAAGAAGTTTAGTCAGTACTTCTACTTTTACCAGAGTATTTTTAAACACAAGTATCTGTACTTCTATTTGAGTAAAGGATGTGTGTACTTTTGCCATCTCTGCCGTTTGCATTACAATGGTGTGCCTGGTTGGTAATTACAAACACTATAGAGTGATACAAAATGTACCATGATGCAGGTTACCTCCTAAAAATAACAGTATATTTGATCATGAAAACACAAGCGTTTTGCATGGCAGCGTACAGTATGCTGCTGGTTTGCAGGGGGGAGTACCAGGTTTACCTGTGTGTGAACAGTAAGGAACAGCTGTTAACTGCTGCTGCAGTCACTTCACTTCATTAGTGTTCACGATGACAGATGCTATTTGTCCTCTGAGCTTTTAAAATGACAAAGCATACTACGATATATTTCCCATTTTGATACAGCCTTCCAAAATCACTTCAGACATCAACAGTGATAGATAGGAATGTATCTTTAACTTAATCCAAGACCAGTGTTTCTGACCCCATGACTGTGATCATTGCATTGTGGGTAATGGCAGCCTCTAATGACAAAAGCAAGGTGACAATATGATGGTGACGGAAACAAATCAGTCAGGTGATATAAAATAAGCAGCCATTGTGGTGCTATTGAATCATTTGATAATTGTTTTTTTGTGTGTTTCATCAAGTCTTAATGACTTAAAGCGTTTGAAACACGTAGTATTGTGTCCTTTGACAAGTTATGGAGCTTCTACAGAGGGTCTTAAGGTGTTTCAGACAGTCATTTTTAACCTTGTGTCATTACTGATGCACAGGCACCTTGTGAACTCTTTTGTGCCGTACCAGGCTATAAGCTACAGCTTTTAACAGACCTGTGTGTGTTGGAGTGTGTGTGTTATTGCCCTCCTTCTCCACCTCCATCTTTATACTTTCTTTTATAGGCACGGTTCATAAAGCCCCAGGACACATGTGCATTTTCCATCCAAGCTGAAACATTGTTACCGTATTCCTCAGTTCTTACCTCCTCGAGCAAATGTGATCCCCCAACACAAAGGGCTCTGGCAAAAAAACATGTTTCTACACTGTCAGACCTTTAAAAGGTTTTACAGTAGGGGCAGTTATTCAAGTTGTGGTATTGAGTGACGGCAGAGCTGGTCAGTTCTTATCACTCAAAGCGAAACTGATGCTGAGGCTTTATAAGAATGGAACCATTGAGCCAACGGTGACATTAAATACAGTAATTACATACATTTTCCCTTAAGCCCCGCCTCCGATCTCCCACTCTCCTCAGTCAGATGAATGTAGAGGGAAAATAACTGTGGATTTAGCTTTTTATTGCATTTTCCAACTTTTAGACCCTAATGATTTTAATATGAGCTATAAAAGTGTTCATATTTAGCTCCAAAAAAATATAAACCCTGATTTACAGACTTTTCTTTCTGAATGTAAACAACATATTTTTAAAAACCTCTTTACATACGATGCTTTAGAAAAACATTTCTTTATGAGTATATTATGGTTAAACTAGGCCACTATAGAAAGTACGGAGATGGAAACAGGAGATGACTTTACAGATGTGGGTTTCCTGAATGATACGCCTCTAAACAGACATATGATTAAGGGAAGATGGTCTAGAAGCAACATCAGCTTCTACTCTTATTTTCCAGTCCTGGGCAAAAATGTTCTCTATAATATTACTTAATAAAATGTGCTTAATTAATTGTGTGATATTCAGTGATGACATTATAGTACAGTGCATGTGATGTCTGTCAGAATTGGAGGTAATCAGTAGCTGCAACCAGTCTGTCTGAAAGGTCCTTTAAGCTCAATAAGGTTCATAACAACTCAAGATGCTTTTGGAAACAGGGATCATTTTGTCCCTGTCTACATCTAATGACTGACCCTCTAAGCTTCTACTATCTAAATGTAAGAGAGCTGAAATTAGTGTACAAAATGAGAAATTGTGGTACAAAAAAAAGCACAGAAACAGTGCTTTAACCCTGGTATTAAAGCAAATGTATCTGAACATAGAGCCATACTAAACCATAGTGTGTAACAATCAACCTGCAGATGTCTGGTTATTAAAACCGTCAGAGTGAACACATTTTCTTTTAACAAAAACATGATGTAACTAACAAAAACAAAGCAGATCTTCTCTGACTGCCAAAAAACACAATGTTCGCTCTGATGGATATAGCTCAAACCAGTTCCAATCCTGAGCCAGGATTCTGTATTCTGGTGATACTCGGTTAACTCTCTTTCCTTCCTGTTCTCTGCAGGTGACCAAGACTATCTTTGCCATCCTGCTGGCCTTCATCATCACGTGGACGCCGTATAACGTCATGGTGCTGATCTCCACCTTCTGCCAGTCCTGTGTCCCTGACACCGTGTGGGTTATCGGCTACTGGCTGTGCTACGTCAACTCCACCATCAACCCGGCATGTTACGCTCTGTGCAACGCCACGTTCAAAAAGACCTTCAAGAACCTGCTGCTGTGCCAGTATAAAAACATAGGTACAAGATGAGAGGGGAGCAGAGGTCTGAGGATGGGGGATGGGGTCAGGAAATATTGTTCAGAGGTGAGTGGAAGGAGGGGGTGTGGTTCATTCTGAAACAAAAATCAGAGCAACATTTGAGTGTAAACCTTCAGGTGGACGTCATCACCACGCTTCTAACATGAGATACATTTCCATTATACACTGCAGGAATTCAGGAATATCTTTATTGAAAATGTGTCACAGACAATGCTACACCAACTTGTTAACCCTAGTTATCAAATGTGCGATAAAGTCATTCGGCAACACATAATTGTAACTAAAACATGATATATATTTGTTATATTACGCCATGACATATAGCCATGCTGTATGCATAGACCATCATACAGTTGTGAGGGGACACAAAAGAAGGTCAGAAACCCCCCCACCACCCTCACAATGACATGTTGGTGGTCACTGTCATATCAATGGACAAAATCGATAGCCCCAAATAATATTCCATGGAACTGAAGTAAGGTGACAGAGGAGAGGAGGGATGACTGGGAGGGGGGGGGGGATGAATGAAGACAAGGTGGGGGAGAACAGTTAGTTGAGGAGAGAGGAGAACGTAGCAGCAGAGGGGAAATGGAAGGATTTTATGTAGCATACACTGTGGCAGCCATGTTGGAAGTCTTTAGCTCATGAGCAACAATAGCAGCCAATCGTAAATAAGCTATTTGTAATTTGATTTCATGCTGTAATTCATTAGATTGCGTATCGGTGTTGTCATCAGCAGGTTAGCTTTCGGTTGCGTCGTTGTAGCCCCCTTTTTGCGATAGGAAGACGACATATTCCAATGAGACCATCGGGGGTAGGCAAGGAAGAAAAGTTTAATTTGAATTAGTTTAATACAGTTCAGGACAGGGACGTGCACAGGTACGGGCTAATGTTGCCCAGGCAACAGCCCGTTTGCCATTTTTGTCTGACCTGCCCCTCTGGAGAGAGCGAGAGTTTGTTTTTGTTTTTTCTATTGTGGCCGAATCAACATGATAAGCCCACAATTAGTATTGTAGCGTCTCACTGCGGGAAACACACCTTGCCAGCGCTGTCATCTGTCCCCAGTCACGTGACTTTGTTTACAATCTGACAGCTGGAAGCAAAGGAAAGCCCTCCGGCCTCATATGGCTATGGTGATCACACCAAAGGCCTGCCTGGCGTTAGAGTATAGGGGACAAACCAGGGGACTTAAAAAAAACACCTAAATATACCTATTATTGTGATTCTGTCTTTCTGTGTCTTTTACTCTGTAAACTCCCTCAACGGGGCCGCTCGCTCTCTTTTCTTGATCGCCCTCTCACATACGGGAGAACACTTCACTGTCCTGCTTCATTGTAGGATTTCTGCCATTTCTCTACTTCAGTTTGACCATCTCTGTTATTAAGTGATGGAATACTAAATAAATAAGTAATTAGATACCTTACCGTTACTGCGCTCATAAAGAATGATAAGAATAAGAATAATGCGTATTGAACTGGTTTAATTAATTAGTGATTTTATTTAAGGAAATTAGTTAGAAGCCCTATTTTATCAGTAGCCTATGTCTGCACAGCAGTTACAATGGTCAAACTACATTAAAACAGGATTGTCCCCATTTTTTCTTTGATAGTTACTAACATTAGATATTTTAATGAGATATGGACCCCACAACAAACAATGTGCCTGAATAACGAATTTAGCAGTGGACATAAAAGTCAACTGAGTGCCACTTGCAATGACAGTGTTGTGTTTTTATTTTACATTAAAAACAAGTTAGAATTTTCAAAAGGTCTTATGTTTTTTTTCAGGGGGGGGGGGGGCTTTTTCCAGTTTAGAGCAATAGCCCCTCCAAATGTCTGTGCACGTCCCTGGTTCAGGAGGTAGTTACTTAATTCAAATAAATCTGATTCTGGCGAGGAGCTCGAAAAATGCAACCTCACATGGCTGCTCTCAAACCAGAAGTGGCTATTTTAAACATAAAGCTTTAATATAAATGCCTCTCAATATTCAAGAGATGTGATTTTCATTAGTTGCCTGTAGTTTTTAGCTAAAAGTTATTTTTTAAAGTGTAAATGATTATAATAAAACAAGATAAAAGGTTATTTACTTGAAAAACTAAACTACCAACTAACCCTCTGCAACACATCATCAAACACATTATCTTTGACTTCATTCATAACGGTTCAGATACAGGGTTATTGTGTGTGCCATTTTTATTCCTCTAATGTTTGCACACATGACAAGTTAAATACAGGGAACACAGCTGCAGCTCGATGCTCTCTAACTATAGTACACATTCTGGTTTATCAGGGGTTAAACTCAAAGCACAAAGTGTTTCAAAAACACCTCCCCGGGGGTGTGTTGATTTTAATTTTGGTTGACATACGAGATTAGTTCAAAAGTTATATTGGCGTTTTGAGGCAGAGTGAGAGGAAACATGAATGAAATGCTCGCTGATAATGAACTGGTGAAGAATCATGCAGCTGTCTGTGTTGCTGTTCTATTTGGGTCAGCTCCATTGTGCTTTTTTTATTTATTTATTTCCATCAGATTCCATAAACCCTTTTAAATTCAGATCTGTAAAGGCCTGTACTGTATCATGATATTTAGTACAGTATTAAATGAGGGCAGGTTCATCGATCACAGTCACTCAGCTGAGACAATCCATTATTCAACAGTTTGATCGGGTGAGTCAAACTGCTGTCCTTTGATATCTTAGCATTAGTTATTTAATCATTTGATGAGGTAATACCATGTCAGAACAAGGTTTAAGTTAGGTCAGACATCAGGCCCTTTTTAAATGCAGCTGATCTGAGAAGTGAAACGTCTCCTAAACGAAGTCCTCCGTGGCAGGGTGTGTGTCTTCTTATAATGTGACTGTCACAAACTTGACAGGACCTTGTCAATCACCTATTGCCCACACTCAAGAAAAAAGATTAGGAAAGGAAGATCATGACATCCTGTTCCTCCACAGGAAGCAAAACATCACATTTCTCACAATATGGACGCTCACAAAGTCTTCAATGTGAGAGACTAGTACAGTAAGGACTACGAGGTGCAGTTGAGCATAATTCTCTTCTTCAAAGCCTCTTACAATAAGTGCAAAAACCATAGGGATTCAAACTCTGAACAACAAGGAAAGTGCAGATATATTCACTTCAAGCAAGTCCTACCTTTGTAGGTGCTGGTGAATTAGTTAAAAAGCCTAAATTCAGTGCTTTTGTTTCAAGAATTGTATTGACAAGGTACAATTGAAACAGCTGGATGTTCAGTTTGTGAGGAAAGATAAGCAGAGTTGTATGACCAACACTGGCTCTGTGGACATGTTGGACAATAGGCTTAGTCTGGTCTCAAAACTCCAATATAATTATATGTTTTCCACATTTTCTCCGTCTTTCTTTTTGGATTGGCCTTACAGTATCTCCAGTTCCTCTCTCTGGACTGCAGGTGCTTTATTGTGTGTTTTCAGAGAGGCTGCTCTGCTGTCAGTTTGATGTCAGTTCCCATTGAGTTCCCCATTCATGTAGTCACATTTCTGTTCAGCCTATCCACATTCAAACAGCATGAGGTGATGTTTGCGAAGACGTTTGCTGTATCACAACATGCTTTATTACCCAACACTGAAATGATCACTTGGAACAGGGCTATGATTTGGAATATAATTGCATGACTGTCACAACCCATGAATTCCAAAGAGACATGAAGTGAGAACATTTCCTTTAACAGTCTGCTCGTGTTCTCAGTGAGAGACACTGGAGGAACATTTCAGGAGCGTTTCTAAATCATGTGTTCCTTTTCTCTTTCAGTTTGTAATGATCCTTTATGATCCTTTCTCCTCTCAATTATTTTTAATCTGACATTCCCTCTTGGTGTATCTATTTATTTAGCTGAGTTATGCTATGCACATTCGCTAAAATATATTGGAAAAATACATTTAAGGATAAAATACAACAAGGTATTGTGCTGGAATTCTAACATTTCATTGTCAAACACATTTCCAGATAATAAAGTAAGATTTATTCTAGCTGTCAGGGTCGTGATGAAACTGTTAGCACATCCTATTGCAGCATGTGTGTGTGTGTTCATCCATTGTTCACCTGGGTGGAAACTGTTACACTCCTCTATATCATCTGCAGCCCCTCACATTTCCTTTTTATTAACACTTTTTTATGATTTAAGTTGTATGACTCTATAATACATAACAGAGTTAGTGACAGTATTTTTGAAAATGCTCTTTGTCGTTTTCTCACAATGAGAATAAAGAGTGTATTGAGATTCTAACAAAGACAACTTGAGAATGGCTGCTCGGTGTAACATGAAAATCAGGATTAGTGCAAAGAAGAGACAAAACAGAGGAGTGTGAGGGAGGAAGTGTACACAGACAAACATCAGCAACACTCAAGATTTGCAGAATGAATGGATGAGACAGAGTTTAGGAAAATCTGAATTACTGACTGAGAGGCTTGACTGGGCTGCAACATAAAATTGTTCTAAACATTAACAAAACCTGTTTAAATCAAATCATTTTACTCTGGGGTACTACTGATAACCTTTATCTAATATGCAGTGCCTTTCAGACAAAAACCCTTCAAAATGAACACGATGTTTCGTATTAATGATATTAATAACATTTTTTATTAGAGCGCTTTTGCAGGTGCTCAAAGCGCTTTACAATGACACATTACACATATTAGACATGTAAGAGTCATTACCCACAGGAGCAAATTCGGGTGAAGTGTCTTGCCCAAGGACACATCGGCCTGACGCAGTGGCGGATTTCGAACTGAAGTTCGCCACCGCCCCTTGATCTGATGATCAACGCTCTAACCCACTGCGCCAAAATCACCTTTACAAAGAGCCATTAACACAGTGGTGAACTTATAATGTATTTTAGATATATCTCCACATATTAAAACCACTTTATGATGTTTTTGTAAAAAAAAAAAGTAAAAAATCGAACTTTAACAAACTACATAGTAGTTTAGTCGACACTTGTTAGCAACCATAAGACAGGTAAAAGCTTCAGATATTCCACAGTGGGGTATTTAATTACGTATTTTATGTTGTAGAGTAGAACAAAAAATCTCTTCAGCTTTTGTTAACCACAGACCTTATTTCAGACTTCTATCCAAATTCAAAATGCCATTGACTTTGAGACAAGTGAACAGGAAGTGGTCATCTTAGATAAATATCACTGATTATTAGCCACCAATAAAGTCAGGTGTGTAAGGGTTAGGGGAAGATGATAGGAACCTTCATCACCAGGGTTAAAGAAGAGTTGTCTGCTTATGGTTCAGGAATTATTATTGTCATGGTAATTCTGGTTGTGTAGGGTCTGGCCAGCGAGTGTGTCACATGTCATCCCCTCTTCTCTCCGACCTCATTTCCTGTCAGTGGTTTGCTCCATTCAGAACAGTTTTAACATGAGGTTATTTCTGGTGTAGGTTAGATTGTCAGTGGAGGACAGAGCATAGATGTGTAATGGAGCAGTGAGATGGATCACGGGGGGGGGGGGAGGCTATGGGCAAACAGCAGCTCTGACAGGTCTGATGGCCTCAAATTACAAGGGAACACATTTGGTCCCACATCCAAAAAACAATCTCCAACTCTACATCAAGTCCATCACACATCTCCAACTGGAGTTGTTGCTCAGTTCTGGTTGAGGAACCTGTTGAATTTCCCCCTTGTACAATCAGTGTCATTTTCAAATAGGTTTTGTAGAACCTCAGCTACAATGGTGTAAGCTTTGGCCAAAGGTTGAATAATTACTCAAATGACTAGTTTTATCTGATGATTTGATCTTATCAGATTTCACACAGAATGTATTTCCTGATGAAACAGAACATAGTGAACAGATGTAGTTTGTGTATAATATTTCCACATGAACACCAAACTGAAGCAATTGTCTAGAGAGAGACATTCATTTTGCTAAACAACTGGAAAATATGTGTCTTTTGGTGGTTTACTGTAAAACGCTGACCACATGTACAGTATAATTCAAAGGGTTGTACATTGTAATATGTTTAAAATACCCCATTCTATGTTGACATCTGTAAATACATCACATATGCACATATGGATCATTCCAAAGAGGGGAGACATCTTGTGTTCTTTCAGACTTGATCAAACATATGTACCTCCCACTGTACAGAGCATGAGCGTTATAGTGATATAAAGACATTGTGAATTGTAGTCTTATATTTTGTCAGAGTATTGCTATTATATCTTTAGCCAAATGGCATCAGTTAAGTGAAAAGAAAACATTTTTACTATATGGAAGAGCAACTGATTGATCATTTTTATATCAAGAGTATGTCCCTGCATTAAAATGAAAAGCTGTATGTAATATATTGAGAGCTGGAAATCTGTAATATAAATGTCATGTTATATTTCCTCTATGTTAATATCAATCTGTGTATGTATTGTATCATTTTTAAAAATGAATCTTTTCCTCACCAGAGCTGGGTTCTCAGCGGCACACATGGGACAGAATGACTCTTTAAAGGGTAAATCAACTCCATTGGAATTAAGTGTTGGAATTTGGGGAGTACACAGAAGTAATATCAAACATTTCCGCCCCTAAACTCACAAGAAAGATTCTTAGTCAGCACAAATCGTTTTTTTTCCTCACTCAAACTGATCTTTCTATTACCAAAGCACAGATAAACAAACTCAAAGGGGCCCTAATATACTCTTTGTGGTTCTCCCTCTCCTGTAGCGTTCTATAGGTGTTAGTGCATGTAAATGGTCTGCAGAGGCTACAATCCCCCCAGAGCGAGTTTCTCTCCCCCACACTCAAACATGTAAGTACAGTACACAGTAATCTGTTATTTATTATATTTAATGAAGTTAAAAGAACACAGTTGATTTACCCTTTAAAATCATAGTCATAATATTCTGGTCCTGAGTTTAAAAAAAACCCTCTGGTGATTTTATTCTGTATAATAATTGATGGCTGTTTGTACTTTCTCTTATACTTTTTCATGTACATTTCAATAGACGCATCATTTTCATGGAGCATCGCCTGGCACACTTCTCAGCTAGTATTACTTTTTAAACAAACATGTATTAAAGATATATTAGAACTTGGGTTGATACCAAACAATCATGCTAATAAACACCTGCTGTTGAAAAGTTGTGTAATGTGTGTTGTCTCAAACAATTTGAATAATGTCTGTTACCCCTTTTACACCAAAGCGGTTCCAGGGCCAGTTTTTCCTGTTTCCACCGCGAGAACTAGTTTTGGAACCCAGAACCAGATACGTCGAAGGCTGGGTCAGATTAAGCTGAGTGAGTACAGCCAATACAGTTGTTACAAGAACCAACCACAGATTGCAAAGGGACTAGAAAGCGACCACAAAAATACACGTATATAAAGTCAGCCAATTTGGTGAGCACGTGTTTTACTTGGTGTATCTCTGAACTATTACAGCATATTTGACTTCTGTTAAACACAGACTTTTCTGAAAAAGAGTTTTCAGAGTGGATTTTCTTTTTCCTCACACCAAAAGGTCTCCCAAATTGACAATAGAGTTTTAATCAAATCAGGGTCAGAGAGGAATGGGGAACCGCATTAATTGCTCCTCTTAATGCTGGACCTTTATTCCTCAGCGGTTTCCACAAAGTTAACTTAAACCAAATATTTTAATCCCAAGCGTATAATTCTAAAGATCTTTCTCTTAATAACTTATTTCTGCTACTACATGTTCATTTTCTGATTGAAAACCAAACATTTTATCACCAAATTCAAGTTTCTCCTTTAGGTTTACATTAGAAAATAGTTGTTTTATATGTTAATTCAAGCCTAAAGGACATTTGTTGTGACGATCTTTTTTTAACCGAAACATAACCAGCTGGGCGCCTGATAAAGAGTAAATGAATCAACTATTCCCTCTTTGAAGGCATTCCTCTGATGATCCTGTTCCTCACAGTGATGAAGGTCTGATCCTCGGCTTCCTCACAGCAGGGGGTCCGCAACAGTGTGAGCGAGGGCTGCATATCGGAGAAGAATTGGCTCCAAATTACTTGTGATCACAGGTTTCCTGTGGGCACGTCCTTGTGTTGAACTGAAATGAAACTTCTCACTTTGGCAGATAAAAAATGCAAAAACATCTGCGCAGACATCATTGTGTACAGAGTGGGAACAAAAAGAGTGTTTATGTCACCAAAACATGCATTAAAAACACAATATTCAGAGAAATACACCAGAAAAATATAGAATTGTATTTTCTTAATCTGTCATTATATTTTAGTACAATATTCGCCTTCCATCTGATAGCCTGATTTCTAGCTAGCCCCTCCCACTGGTAATGCCGACGTCACACCGTGTAACCAAGGCAACACAGATAAAAACTACACAGATCATTTATTCCAGCGCTGATTCCGATGCAAAAGAACACAGAGATCAGAAGATCAGAGCTGACCTAGATTGGCAGGAGCAAGTTGCTAAGAGCCAGAAACAGAACAATTACACGGAAACAATCTCACAGCTAATACAAAAAATGGAAATGATTCTTTCAGAAAGCATTCAGGAAAACATTTGTTGTCCTGAAATGGTGATAACTCTGTGCTGTGGTTCCAACAGATGGTATGACTCACACCTGTCTTAAACATATTCAGAGAAACACTCAGTTACTACAGTATAACAATGGAAGTCAATGATGTTTAGCAGCCACTCAGAAGAGGAAGAGGCGGTGTGTTGCCATGGTGAAAATGTGATCACCATTGTTAGCTGAACAACTCTTTTGTCTTTTTATGGAAATCATCACGACTCACGAGGAATGTGAAACGGTAATTTAAACAGGGTATCGTTCTCATAAACAAACGATTTAGAGTATTGTACCAACATACATATGAACATGGTTTGAATTTAGTGATACACACATTTCCTCATCAGATTGACAAAATCTCAGGAGGTGTCCAGTGAGACACAGACACAGTATGTTGTCTGATTCTAAATGTCTCTTGCTGTTCTTGTATCCTCTCCTTGCAATTATAAACCTGTTGTTTTGAGGCAGCTTTCAATGGATTTTTCCTGTCATTTCACATATTTCAAATAACGATTGACTATTTTTTCCAAAGGTTTAGGATCTCTGGGCTAATGAGCCGACAGCAGCAGGGGTAAGTGAAAGATTCTATTCTCCTAACACAACGGTGTACTAATTGCTCATTACAGATATGTTGCATGCATAGACATGGAGGATTGATTTTTCACACAGTTTGTTTGCAAAGTCAAACCATCTGCATGAGCTTTTTGTAGAGTAGTTTGGATAGTGGTTATGAACAGAGGGAAGTCTCTAACACATGTATCTAATATATTGTTTCTTTGTTGGGTCCTTTTTTGCTGTGCTTCGAAAAGTTTTGTTCTGTTCCCGTTGTTTACAAGTTCATGTCCACTACAGCTGTAGAAAGTTACTTTTCCAAGTTGGAAAGAGGCTGTAATGCGCCCAGGTGCCCGAACGACTCCTCATCTGAAAAGCAAGATATGAAGTAATAAACGAACATCCGGTGTATAGAGTTCAAATAAAGCAGCTAATTCTGTAAGAATCCCCCCAACATTCAGTCGTATGAAGACTGGTTTACAGTGGTTACATTACATTTGAAACCAGACACAACCGCATGTCTTTATTGTTTTGAGCTGGGCTGGGTCTATTTGTGAAGGACTGCTAACTGCTCACTAATGAAATGATTTATATATTTGCAGTATAAACAAGGTGTCTGTTGCCATTCCTAGGAAAATATTCTGTAAGTCTTCTGTGTTTGGTCTTCTTCTTCTTGTGTAGCATTAATGGACTACAACTGCATTCTGTTTGGCAACCTTGGAAGGACAATAAATGCCCTTATTGTATTTCAGTATCTGAGTATATGTTTTTAATGGGCTGGGAAAATAGTTCAGAGATATCAGATAATGTGTGTCACACACCTGAATGTGCTCAGCTTCTGTGCCAAAAAACACAATAAAAGTGTTAAGACAATAGGGGCACCACCTTGCTTGAGTATTGTGAAAAAGTGTCATTGAGTCACCATCAGGGCCTGTGGCCAAAATCTTCTATTGTTTGATAGCCAGCATATTTTTTCTATTGTTTGTAATGAGGGGAGAGCGCATTGCATCATACGCCACCGCCTCATTAAAAGGCCCTGTATCCAGCACCTTTTTTATAGCCCTCGCTCCACGCGCTGATCATATTGAAACCTTGCAGAAAAGCGTAGGTGACGTCCCTGTAAAAAGCAGAATCAGCTATTAACTATGGCCTGATCCTGTCCCACTATCTCCTTCCTGGCACTCCTTACTGTACCCATTTCGCCTGGTTTCCACTTGAAGTAAACCAAGTTTTTTTTTTAACCAGCTTTGCTCTACCTGTGCCTGTACTCGGTCATGTGACCCGTCTGTTGTGAATTCAGCGCTGTCGCCTCTAGCGAGAACATCAAACAATAGGAAGTGGCACAAATGGATAATAAAAAGCAAATGGGGCGATGCTAGTTTGTCATACAGGAGCAGTAAAACGTTGTCAGGATATTGTTTAACAAGTGCTTGGAGGGCCTTACCCCCGAACAATTTCAGTTTGTGGTATGAAGGTTTAACATTATTGGTATTACATTACATTACATTACATTGCATTTAGCTGACGCTTTTATCCAAAGCGACTTACAATAAGTACATTCGACCAGGAAGACACAACCTTGAAGAAAACAGAATCATATAAGTACATCAGGTTTCATAGAGCCAAACATTTCAAGTGCTACTCAACTGGCTTTAGGTAAGCCAGTCCTTTATTAGTATAAAAGTGCTTCGTTAATAGTTCTAACGCTCGAAGTGGAGTCGAAAGAGATGAGTTTTCAGTTTGCGCCGGAAGATGTGCAAGCTATCTGCCGTCCTGATGTCAATGGGGAGCTCATTCCACCATCTTGGAGCCAGGACAGCAAACCCACGTGTTTTCGCCGATGGGAACTTGGGTCCCCTTCGCAGCGAGGGCGCAACGAGTCGTTTGGCTGATGCAGAGCGTAGTGCACGCGCTGGGGTGTACGGTTTAACCATGTCCTGGATGTAGGAAGGGCCAGATCCATTCGCAGCATGGTAAGCAAGTACCAGTATCTTGAAGTGGATTCTAGCAGTTACCGGAAGCCAGTGAAGGAGGAGCGGAGTGGTGTGGGAGAATTTAGGAAGGTTGAAGACCAGACGAGCCACTGCATTCTGGATGAGCTGCAGAGGTCGGATGGCACATGCAGTTAGACCAGCCAGGAGGGAGTTGCAGTAGTCTAGGCGTGAGATGACGAGAGCCTGGACCAGAACCTGAGTCGCTTTCTGAGTCAGCTGGGGACGTATCTTCCTGATGTTGTAAAGCGTGTATCTGCAGCAACGGGTTGTAGCAGCGATGTTTGCAGTGGTATGGCAACATTTTATTATATTTAGGGTCCTTGTTACGAGTCAGGTGATAATGTAGGACCAATATTTGTATGATAATTGGCCCATTTTCCCGAACAATGAGCATTACTGAAATCTCCAGCTAACACACTTCAGGCCCCCGAGGCTGCCCGCTGCTCTGCCTGGTTATTAACCAGCCTGCAGGGTCCGACTGACATGTTTGCCCTTTAGGCCTGACTCTGACAAACAATAACAATACTTAAAATCCATACCAGCCTTCAGTCTATGACTATATGTTCCACAGCAAAATAGGATTTCTTCATGGCCTGCCACAATTTAGTTTCCTCCCCCGAGGATTGTAAGACTCTGGGATAAGGCAGCATATCGGGGGGGGGGGCATTGAATTCAGGATCAGCACATCAACAATGCATATTGGCCTTCTGCCGTGGTTACAGAACGCGGTTGTCAATAATACATATAGGTATAAAGCAGAAGTGTTTTACTTAAGGAAATGTTTGGAGTACTTGTAATTAACTGAAGTATTTCCATATCATGCTACTTTATACTTCTACTCCACTATATTTTGAAAGCCAATATTGTACTTTTTATTTGAGAAAATTAGTTAGTAGTTACTTTACATGTTCAGATTATTGGCAACAGTATAACAAAATATAAGTGAACTAAAACATAAACTATCATATAAAAGGTTAGGTTCAGATATCCAACAGCAGTACATAAAGTCATTAAAATGATCTCCACTTTAACCAGCTGT